CTCATTGTCAGCTGCCCAGAGATGGGACAGTTGGATGTGTGATCTGCTGACAATGCAATCATATAAATATGCCTGTCGACATACACATTCCTATGCTAGAGCCCTGACTTGAGTAAAGGAGATCAGGCTTTAGGTGAAGAGGATGAGATGGAGATAGGAGAGGAGAGAGCGTTAGTGGAGGGTGTAGAAGAAGGAGGGGAGGCTGAGAAATTTATCATAATTGACACTTCATAGTAATACTCAGGAATCTGGAACGTGCTAATAGAAATACAGTGGGATACAGAGAGTTATACATCTATTATATAATTTGGAACTCCCCCACTTAAAGTCACTTCTGACTCTAAAAATAAAATTACATTAAAAATAACACAGCAGGAGCCAAAACAGCAACCAAGCAGAATGCAAAATTAATGATGCTGTCTTTTCTATACTGTCTATGGAAACAACAGACAGACAACAGCACCTGACATTGATAAATTTTATCATTTGTGCAGATAATTAGTCAACGCATCCCATAACAATACTAACAACTGGAGTTCACCAACTCAAATGAACGTGAGCAAGAATAAACCATGTAGATAATGGTTTATTTATGCTAGAAAACAAAATACTAGTATAGCTTTATATCCTACATATCTTTCCATCCCGTTCCTTTCACCCGGCTGCAGCAGATGCAGAGTTTTTTCCTTCCCTATGTGGCCAAAGGGTTGCTCATAGGGGGTCATCTGATTGTTGGGATTTTCTCCGTATTCTCTGTGTTATTGTAGGGGCTTTACCTTACAATATAAAGCGCCTTGAGGCAACTGTGTGATTTAATGCTATATAAAAAAATTGGAACCTAATCGAATCGCCTTTAAAAGCTAAAATATCCAAAAAATTTAAAATGGTAACTTCAAGAAAAGCATAGTGTTTATAAGTTTTATATAAGACACTTTCAACTTTCGTTGTCAAATTTAAGATAGATTTTGTATGAGGTACTACCAACAGCAGTTTAATAACACCGACTTGTCAAATAGAAAAGTCAACAGAACCCTGAGCAAACACCGACAACTTCAACTTATTTATGGCAACTTTTTCAGCTGTAAATGGTTAAAAATCCATTCAAGTGTTGCTGCTTTTCACTCACTTCCGCATGTGAAGCTGTGCCACTTACTTACAGTAAGATTTTAATCGCGGGCCTGCTACTTGTACAGTAACTGAGTACAGATTTTTTTTTCCTTATGTTTTAAGGCCTAACGTCGCTACCTGCTGACAGTTTTTTCACGGAAATAATCTGCTAAAAGTTTATCATTAAAAGTTCTTCTTCGAAGCTCGCTAACTGAGGCTAAGCTAACCTAAAGTTACATCCGCCCAGACCCCCACCCACAGCAAAATAACCTGCTTAAAAGTATTTTAACATAAAGATAATGACAAAAACAAACTTAAAAGACGCGTGTGTGAACTTTATAAATAAGAGGGTTAAACGTTGTAGTTTACCTCCCAAATATATATATATATATAAAAAAAAAAGATCGTACCGGTAACTTTGGGCAGAGATTTAACGGCGAAGCTAGCTTAAAGTTAGCTCAAGGAAATCATTTGTTTTGACAACTACCGTATAGGAGAGTGAGCTGTCAGCTCACTAACAGCCAGTTTTAACTCCGGAAAGATGAGCCCAACACCTCCCGGTGATTTTTGTGGATATTTCAGTATATACCACCGATAAATCGTTAACGTCACTTACAGCGCCTACCTTTTCAAGCCACAGCCGCTGGACTTGCTATAATGCGGTGCTGCGTTCAGGTGCTTCCTGTAAACTACCCCTCCTCACCCGAGGCGGAAGGCGGAACTGTGACCCATGTTATATTCAAGTTCCTCTGTTTTTATTACTTTTCATGTATAAAAGCGTTTGTTAATTGTAACTCGTTTTAATTTAGTTAACATCACAAAAATATATAAATTAAAAGTTATGGTACATGAGTTTTTATTCATTATTTATTTAGTTTTTATTTCCGGTTTTAATTTTTAAAAAATCAAGCTTTGTGTGGAAGATATGTGAGAATTTTTATGGCTTAAAAATCACCACTTTCCTGTACTTAAACCAATCACTGTAAAATATAATCTTTATTAATCTTTCAGTCTTTCTTTTATTAGTCTTTTATTCTGTAATTGGTTTAAAACAACACGGCCACAAGTAACAGGTAATGTATTCATTATTTAAAAAAAATAACACTGCATTACATTATAGTTACATTACAGTGCAGGTGTAATGTAAATTCTTGTGCAATCAGGCAGGCACTCAAAGGTCTGCTCGCGCCCGGTTATGAAATTTACATCACTGAGAAATTTTGCATCTGTAAGAAATGCTAATTTTCTATTTTTTAATTTTCTATTTTTTTTAATTTTTCTCAGAAAAATAGAAAAATTAGCTTAACATGATCGAACACCCAGTCAGGCCTTCACCTGTCCAAGCCTATGACAGCAGCAGATTATATTCAAGGCCTTATGTCCTATTCATGCTCACCACATTGGTGGCTTTGCGCACTGACATCGTCACAGCTTGGAAACATTTATACTCCCAGTGAGAGGATGAGCAGGAGTAAAGATTTTTAAAGTTTATTCGTTTCAAAGTGTTGCAACATCTCTTTCATTAACATTGCAGTTAATGCCAACACGATCATAAACTTGTGTCTTTAATTTGGCTGTGGCAGCAGGGGCACTTGCTAAAATGATAGGAAACCTGGGAGGCCTGCGGATGTGACGTCACTTCGTCGAACGACGTAGTTCTCCCTGCAACAACCAGGTGTAAATAGGTTCTTATATTCACCACCTGAGCTAGAGCACAAGCTTATTTCTAATCTTCTGCTCAGTTTTCAATTTTCAGAGCTTATATTCTACTGTCTTTAAACATTTTCTTTCTTTGAGATTTGTGGTTAAATTATGTCTCTTCTTTCTATTATTATTCATTGTGTTTTTTGTCACGGATTTTTTAAAATACATGCGTCTAAAATAGAAAGTAAAACAGTTTTATCGTGCTCAAACAAAACCAGGACAACAGAGAAGTGGTTTCACCCATTTTTGGTTGAGAAGAAAATGATTTAAAAGATAATCTAAAACAGTCCCTGGATGGACAATCAGAGGTCATCTTAGCATTAAAAGGTACAACATAGAGCCACATAATCGAATTTAAAACTGATATTTGAGGTTAGCATTATAGATTAGTATTAATAACCTGGCTCCAGTTCAATAAAATGTAAAAACCACACATAGACTGACAGATTTTCCTCAGTGATCACCAGAGGGAGATAAAATACACACTGAGGGTACTTTTGTTTTTCATTTTAGGGTCACTGTCAAGGGCCATTTGACATGTTTTAACACAACCAGAGAGCGTCCTGCTGTTCTCTGCTACTTCAGAAATCTCCATGGATTCATTCACTCCACACTTGCTGACGTTTCCATTTGAGCAACGAAAAAATTAGGAAAAGATTTCAAATTGAAGGCACCTTTAAAATGAGCAATTCAGCCTGTAACGTGTTACATTTTTTGTAGCTGTTTAACAAAACATGTTAAATTTAATTGTATATTAGTATTAGCCACTGAATGCTGGCCCTGCTTGTTTAATCTATAGACAGCATGGATGTAACACTGTGAAATCGCTCGTCGGTTAATGAATCCTGTTTTGGAGCCTCATGCTGATAGTTTTTGCCTTCGCTATCTTGGCTAACAACTATACTTTATTTACAAAACAAAACACCCCGATATAATATTTTATTCAATATGACCTGAAATGAGTGGCTAAGGCAGAAAATGATTATTTACTGCAGTAATAGAGCGAAGAGTCCAAACTTTTTTCCAACAGTCTTCTGTGCAAACAGATTTCTTTTTGCAACTAGAGGTGTTGCCCCCTGCTGGCCATTAAAAATGTCTTAAAACAAGTTTAAAATCGATTTTAAACATTTAAAAGATACATTTTAAGTCATCCAAGAAATAACTAAGTATATTATAGTATATTATACAAGTTCTTACACCAGTCTAATCTAATTTGTTTCCCTTGACCGCAGTGGAAAGCAGCGTGAGGTCAGGGAAGTTCTGCTGTGTCGAAATGATCAGACTCTGGTCGATAATGAGTTAGGAATTGGATGTGGACAGTTCATAAGCTTGTAAAAACAGCCATGTAGATGAGTATGAGTGAATATGTAAGCTGGTCCTCTGTATTATGTCTTTAATAGGGATAAATCTGTTTGTTTGGTTGGCCTGGTCAGCACTGATGTGCTGGAGGTGAAGGGAGACCTCGCCGAGGGAAAGGCTTGTCGACCTTCAGCGATAATGCAGCAGAAAATTAGATAATTACAACGCGAGGTGCTCCTCTATTACTCCGTCCCTCTGGATGGCCTCGCTGTTTTGCTCATTTCACAAGCATTTCATTGCTTTTTGATCTCATCGGTGCTTTTTGGGGGGAAAAATCCTCTTTGTTGCTCCCTCATGTTTTTTTCCCATCTGCCCCCATTTATTTCTCTCTCTCTCTCTCCTTCTTTATATATGTTTCTCTTAGTCGCTCACCCATAGCTAACCACAGGGATTGATGCCAATGACTATGTGCCGCTTGTCTCCCAAAGATAATCCCATTAAACTCAGGAATTTAATTATAGATTATCTCACACGCTCGCACACACACAGAAGCGCACCCAGAGTCGTTCACACAGGTGGATGTACGCACCTGCCCGATAATACTCTTGCATGCAGGCAAAGACACACCATAATAGACGACCGTGACACACACTGAGCACACACTGGCTTCACCCTTTTGCCCTATCAATGTGTATCAGTGTCACTCTCAGCATTAGCAGCGTCACCGGTCTGTTTTTAGAGCAGCAAGGACACAGCTCAACACGATTCTGCACAGAACAAAGGAAGAACAATGAAGTTACGGTGAGCTCTGTCCAGAACGCAGTCACAGTTCCTGTAAACTCATCAGTTTAGAAGCATTTTCAGGACACGACGGTGGATTTGCGCCGCAGGCCAGAATTTGATTTGGTGAGAGGAAAATTTTATTGGTGAAAGATCAGTGGAGTCTTTGGTTACACCACCATAACTTAACAAAGTTACAAACAAATGAGGCAACATCACAACACCAGTGAAAAAATAGTTATAAGTTTTAGTTAAATCATGATTACAAGTTAATATGGAAAGCACCTTCGCTGTGTGGTAAAAAGTGGATAAATTAGCGTGTAGGTGCATTAAAGGGACAAAACTAAACATCAAAACAGAAGAAACAAAGCTGGTTAGTTTCTCAAGAGCATTTCTTTCATCTCTCATTCTGTAAAGAGTAAACATGCTTTTAGCCTTCTGCCCTTACACATGGATATCTACTCCAGTATAAGAGAAAAACATCTGCTGGGTAAAAATGAATAGGATGCACAAAATATGAAATCCAGGCAATTCATTTTCTTTTTTGCAGACTTCCAAACAATCAGTAAATTAGCTGCTGGAACTGACAGCCCTATCATATCTGTTATTAACCTCTGTCTCTCTTCCACAGCATGTCTTTATCCTGTCTTCCTTCTCTCACCCCAACCAATCACAGCAGATGGCCCCGCCCCTCCCTGAGCCTGGTTCTGCTGGAGGTTTCTTCCTGTTAAAAGGGAGTTTTTCCTTCCCACTGTCGCCAAAGTGCTGCTCATAGGGGGTCATATGATTGTTGGGTTTTTCTCTGTATCTATGAAGCGCCTTGAGGCAACTTTTGTTGTGATTTGGCGCTATATAAATAAAATTGAATTGAATTGAACTATAAACAGCTTCAATTTAAGGCTTGTGGTTTCATTCAAGCACTGAATCATCATAAACTTAGGTTATATATGCTTAAATGCAGATTTTTGGTAATTACGTTCTGTAAACTTTACATTTTCACCACCAGGGGGCAGCATTTTGCCAGTCGGCATGTTGCTACTGTTCTTTAATTTCTGATATTTCTCTTTTAGCCCTTCCTCGTGTCCCCACAAGGATTTTCCCGTTTTCAGGCAAACATTGTAACTAACAGTTGATGTGTTTAATGACCCGCCTGGTTAAACAGGTTAAATCAGTATTACAGGAAAGTACAGCACGGCCATAGTTCAACTTCACTCGATATCTTTTTAGTGCAACACACAATTTTTGCTTGTTATGTCATATTTATCTCCCTACAACATGAGCATTACACACACCGAGCATCGTGTCGTGTGAGTGTAGTGGAGAAGGCTCAATTATGTAACCATATATACATCAGCTGAACCCCACTGCAGCACCAGAGAGAGGCAGGGAGACACGCAGCGCGAGAACCGGTCCTGCCTTCATCTATTTTTACCTCCTCTGTCAGGCAAAGAGCCTCTGCACCCCATCCTCATCCCTCCGTCCATCTCCTCCTTTTTAATTAACCCTCCTCTTCCTCTCCCCGTCTCCCTTCTGAGTCATCTCCCTCCTCCCTCTGACACACGCTTGCACATATATATCACCCCCTCCTCCTCTCCTCTCCTCTTCCTCCTCCCCTCCTGTTTCTCTCTCTCTCATCGCTCTGCCTCTCCAGTATTTTCTCAGTCGCCGTAAAAGGCAGAACTCACTCACACACACACACACACACACACCGGCGTCAGGTAAAGGCAGGAAATCCTCTCTTCCTCTTTGCATCTTTGTGTTCCTGCATCATTGTGATTGCGTGTCTTTTCTGTGTGCTGCATAGCGGATACAGAAGGTTGTGCACGAGAATGAGATGCTTCAGTTTTAGGTCTTACTGCATGTGTGTGTGTGAGAGGTCGTAGTCCAACTGTGTGTGTATGTGTGTGTGTGTGTGTGTAAGACCGGAAGTCATGCATGTGTGTGCACGTACTGAAAGATGTGTGTAAGCGTCAGTTTTAGATGTGTGTCTAAATGTTGCATTGTTGTGGCTTTCAAAAATGTACGTGTGCGTTTACAGGAGGAAGGAAATGATGTGTATTTGTCTGTGTGTGTTTTGGCAACGTGCACATTATGTGTGTGAACAACCTCTTGCAGTCAAGAACGCGTTGGTTTGATGTCTTGTGGCAGCTTGTGTGTGTGTGTGTGTGTGTGTGTGTGTGTGTGAGAGAGCTGCAGGTTTAGATGCTAATTTGTGGTTTATTTATGTGTGTCATGGCTTTTTGTGTGTGTGAGCTGGTTTGTGAGAGGGGGAGGAGGGTTCCAGCTTTCAACTGTCATTATGAGGTGTGTGTGTGTGTGTTTGCTAGATGTGTTATGACAAACCATCTAACAGAAAATGTGTGTGTCTGTTCGCTGCCTGCATTTCCTTTGGTTTCTTGTAAAATGGCTGTCAAGTGTGTTGTGTGTGTATTTGGTCATGTGAGTCTTGGCTGTAGGAATGCTGTGTGTGTGTGTGTGTGTGTGTTTGTGTGTGTGTGTGTGTGTGTATGATCCTGCAGTCAGTTATGTTTGAGTCCTCGGTGCATCAACCGTGTATGTGTTTGATTGAGAGGCACAAATAGGTGTGTGTGTGTGTGTGTTTGTGCTTTTGCAGCAGGTACATTTATGAGTGGGGGTTGACTGAAGCAACAAATATTAATAAATAAAGAACAGCGGTGAAAATTGATATGACATGAGATACAATGAGATGTTATTAAAACAACAATATTTCATAACTTGTCCTACGTTCAGCTTTTACAGCAGGAATCATTATTTAATCAT